CATTATGTTTGACATTTTAAAAAATCAGGTTTCAACTTTATTTATTCAATTTTCAGGTTTTTATTATTTTGATTAATTATGATATTACAAAATTAAATTACACCCAGCCTATTACCTACCCACCCGCCAACCAAATTTCAAAATCCCAAACCCTAAATTGACAGATGCTGTCTCTCCCCCCTGCATTATCGTGCCCGGCGCCTCCCTTCCCCTCCTCATTTCCTTCACCCTCTCCCTCCTGCCCCTTCTCCGTCTTCTCCTCCTCCTCCTTTTCCCTCCTTTCTCCCTCCATCCACAGCAACCCCCTTCTCCCCCCTTCCCCCCTGTTTCCTTCGTGCGCGCTGCCCGTCACAGCAGCGTCGAGCGCTTCTGTGAACGGAACAGCAGCAGCGCCTCAACGCTGCTCCCGTCACAGCAGCATCACGACACTATGAACGACAACGCGACGCTGCTGTGGGTCTGTAGGTGTGCGGGGTGGCGATGTGTGTTTGTGGTCAAGGCTCTACTTGGCCAATATCATATCCTCTTCGAAGCTGGTTCGTCCGTCTCTTACCATTTTTTTTCTCCTCAGTGGTGCGGTGGCAGTGCAATGGGTGTGCTGTGGGTGTGCACTGTGTGTGTGGGGGATGTGGCAAATGTCGGCGGTTTGGGTTAAGTTTTCATCTTGTCGTGCGATGGTGATAAACTTGGTATGGATCTGTGGTGGCGGTCTGTGTAGTGGTGGTGGGGGTCGTCGTTTTTTGTTATTGTTGTGAATAATGAAGTTAACTGTGACCTTCATAAGATATATGTGACATCCGAATCGGAGCAGTTATCTGAATTAAGCTAACTGTGACCTTTGTAAGTTATATGTGACCTCAATAAGATATATGTGATCTCGGAATTGGAGCAGTTATCTGAATTAAGCATTATATGACCTTAATAAGATATCTGTGACCTTATAATTTTTTTGATGAGTGACTAATGAAGTTAACTGTGACCTTAATAAGATATCTGTGACCTTATAATTTTTTTTGATGAGTGACTAATGAAGTTAACTGTGACCTTAATAAGATCTCCGTGACCTCGGAATCGGAACAGTTTTTTGAATTAAGCTAACTGTGATCTTAATAAGATATCTGCGACCTCGAAATCGGAGCATTCATCAGAATAGTCGCCGGAATTGAGTGCGGTCGGAAAGTAGTCGCTGGAGTAGCCGTCGGAGCAGTGGGGTGGTGGAGGTGGGGTGGGGTGGGTTAATCATATTATAGTATAGTTAAATATTTAATTTAATAGATTAATTGTAAAATATAATTAATAAATTAATGAAAAAAACTGAGTTTTGTAATTTAAAACTTTGGGACCTGATTTTTAATTTCCTGAAAGTAAATCCATGAACTATAAATTTTTCCCTTTTTTCTATCCATATTCATCAAAAGGAAATACTCCAAATCCGAACTCCCTCAAGATATGGACAGCTCAATCGGACTCGGGCCTAATCTGGCGACACTAGGCCTAATGGGGCCCAATACAAAAGTAAAGGGTGTGGATTGAGGAGTGGTATCACAAAGTTTCTTATAAAATTAGCATATTTTGATAAAAAGTTGATTAAATATGTTCTTTAAAAAATTAATAGAAATTATGAATTCTATAAAATACATTATTAAAATCAAATTTTGATTAGTTAAAAAATTGATAAAATTTTATCAAGAAAGCAGTAAATGTGTTTTGAGTAAAAAATCTACTTATAACCTGCTAATTTTGAAGCTTGTTCAAATATGAGAATAACTAGACGTCGTTGTTCCTATCACGGCTATGTTACCAACAATTATAATTTGTTGTTGTCTTTGTCTTCTTCAAAGTCGTCTTCATCTACTCCTGGCGACCATTAAGTCACCTTTTCAAGAAAGCGTGATTACTAAAGACGCGTCGTTTAAAATCTGGAAGGAATTTCTTGAGTTGAATTTATTTTTTTGGACAGTTGACCTACAAATAATCTTTCAATAGTAATTATCCTTGACAAGTCACATCTCATTCCACATGAAGTGCACGCAGTAATGGATCTTACTTATTCAAACCCATAAATCCTCTTGTATTCTACATAGTAAGAAAGTTACTTTATTTCATTTTGTGCCAAATGCAACTTGCTCAATGGTAATCATTATTAGGCCACAAGATTCCTAAAAATAGAAGCTCCACTGCTATAATCAATCTAAAATTTGAGCTCTATGCTGAGCTATCAAGTATTGAAAAGTGACATTTACCAGTAGAGTGTGAATAAGCAATCAATGATGTAAATGGTCCAGTTTAACAGTTTATATTGGTATATGTCTGTGTCTATCATAACAAATACAAATGGCAAAATAGGATAGGCTCTTCATTTTCAACTAAAGCATACATCTCCAGTGGAAATTTGATAGTGAAAGATTTAGGTAATCAAACGTAACTGGCCATTATCAACTAATAATTAACAAGACAGCAGCTGGTAATTGTCTCTACCAGTTGTCCTTAAGATATTTCACGAAATTTTAGGATACGTTTGGTATACCATATAAACGAAGTAAATAAAATTTTAATTTTTACATATGTAGTTAAACTCTTAATTTTCTTGGCTCTCATTGTCATCCCATCCTGCTTCAACAGCTGCGGTAAGAAATATTTAGAGCCAAATGCACACGGAAAAGGGTATGTTTTGGTGGTACAATGGTAATCATCCATTACACCGAAGATTTCGAAAAGAAGATGCGTTGCTGGTTAGGGGCAAAAATAAAAATTTCAGCTCTATGCTGAGCTATAAAGGAGAAGAAACTGAAAATGACTGATACCTGAAAATGAAATTAATAAAATGAGGTATATGGCCAAGTTGAATATATAATTGACAAAAAGAGTATTGGCTGTTAATATAAAATAGAACACAAATCACAATCGTTGAATACAAGTAATCAAACGTAATTAGATACCCATCCGGGGGCGGACGCAGACAGTTAAAGCTGGGGGCACAATCGAAATTGCAAAAAAGTTGGGAGAAATTTTACAATTGAAAATTTACATCCAAAAAAATCATACCCCTTGTAATTTTGCATCCGAAAATTTACATGGTATATATCTTTTTCGGATGTAAAATTTTGAAATTTTTTTATGTTATATCCTATATAAATTTCCTAATAAAATAATGTAAATTACATTAAGAAATTTGTATCACAAAAATAATAAAAGTTAATGAAATAGTTAAAATTTTAAAAAAATTGCAAGTTAGACGCCTCTTTTTAAGACATACGTTTGACGCAACTTTAACTATTTTCGATATCTGTTTGAACTATTCAATATGTCTATAATGTAGTTCTTGCAACGAGCTTTGAGATGATATAAAGTGATTTGTAGATTCGACTACCATACGATCGTCGGAGAATTTGTAACATTAGCATGTTATCGAAATTCTCGAAATACTAATTTTAAACCCCTACTTTGACAAGTCGTAACATTTGCTATAATTAGTCGTTTCACACGCCATTAACGACATAAAAACTAGACCGTAAGGACTTTAGGTTGATATTAAGAATGCAATATTTCGATTTCATTTCACATTTTATAATAATTTCGAAAATTGAAACAAAATATAGAAAAAAAAAGTAAAGCAAAGTTGGGGGGCGCCTCCCTTGTGTCCGCCAGTGTACCCATCCATTATCAACCAAGACAGCGGTTGGAAATGGCCTCGTGCCAGCATCCTACAGAATCAACGTGTAGGCCACATTGCCTCCTCTTATGTTTCATAAAAGAATCAATTCTCTTTTTCTTTTTGGGGGTCGAGGGGATCAGATATAAGAAATAGGGATGGCAAAAAAACCCTGTTTAACCCGAAACTCATGGGCCCCTGCCCCAAACGGGGTGGAGATTACCTGCCTAATTAGATAAACGGGACGAGAGTTATTGCCCCGAAGCGGGTACGGGAATCATAGTCTCCGCCCAACTACCTGTCCCGTTTAAATTTAATTTTAAATTTAAATTTTTTTATCAAACAAAAATAATAGATTTAACATATTTTTAAAGAGAACATAAGTTGCTTATAACAAATTGATAAAAAATGATAATGTTTATTAAGTAAAAACATAAAAAAAAATAAAAGCAAAAATAAAATAAATAAATAATAAAAAGAAAAAATAAATGGGGTACCCCGCCTCATCCCGCTTTAAGCCGGTATGGAGATGGGATAAGATAACAAAAATACCCGATGGAACGGGGGTGGAAATGGTCGACCCGTCTCATACCCGTTCGTTGTCATCCCTAGTAAGAAATCAGATTTATTCGAATATGATTAAACTATACAATGGATAAAATTTTAGTTTAAGACTGCCAAGCCCGCCTATACCAAATATGCCATCATAATATTGAGTTCTCGCCTCTCTAACCGGAGAATATCAAGGGGTGCCCAGCTTAGCAACACAATGCATCTAAAACTTGACAAAAAAGGGCTAATAATGCTCCTTGAACATGGGCTTTTGACAGGGTGGGGTGACAGTGGCTCGTGAACAAACCCACACACACAGTTTTTTTTCTCGAACGATCTAATCATGTATCGACATGTGAAACTTGACAAAAAATGGCTAATAATGCTCCTTGAACATGGACTTTTGACAAGGTGGGGTGACAGTGGCAGCACTTGTTTGGGTGTGTGTGTGTTTTTTTCTCGAACGGTCTAATCATGTATCGACATGTGTCCTCCCTATTTTTTAACCTGTCATTGAGTCTGTTTGTGTAGCAAGAGCTGCAAAACTCAAAAAGGGCTGCTATAAACGAGTACGTTAAAAATCCATGACAACATCAAGGTGAGTCAATACCTGGGACTCAACACTGTACCCGCTTCAGAAGAACGCGTCTTTGGCAAGATTCTTTTCAAAATGTTAATAAGATTCCATATTAAGTATTTGTTCAAAATTCCAAATAAAATATGATGTTTGACAGACACTAGGTTCCGTCCTTTCAAAGGAATTGAATTAAATAAGCTGTACTTCATTATGAGCAAAGAAGTGGTAAATACAACTAGTTTTCTTCTCAATTTATCCTGTTGAAGTCAATCATACAGCTCATTTTAGGTCAAGAATGGAAAAACGAAAGTGAAGACAACAGCAGAGAGAAAAAATTTAAAAACAAAAAAGTAATCTACAATTACACGAAGCAAAGACCAGAGCCATATCTGAACAGATCATTTCGCTGTAAAGACAAATGAATTTGCCCATACACAAGTGCTCTTCCAACCCAAACACAGCTCAGTTTCCTGTATAATAGAATAAAAATAGCATGTGAGGCTTCCCCTCAAAACCCAGCATTCAGTTATTGTTATTAAAACAGCTACATATGATCACTTATTAAATGGAGAACTTTAAAGGATGCTAAACATTCATAATGAGAAACTCCATTAATAATCTAATTTAGGAGTTAAGAAATATCTCTGCAGATAACTTACAAATCACACAACATTTATAGTTCATTTGAAAATTAATAACAAAAAAATGGGTCATAATGAAGAGAATGACCTACCCAAAGAATTCACTGTCGAGGTTTTATCCACAAGCTGCAGCTTATTAAGCTTTTGCATAGTCCATGCCATTGCGTTTGCGTTTATTAGATCTTGAAAAGAAGCATATTTGAGCCCAAGATTTCTTTTGCTTCACTGGTTGTGACTTCACATCCCTCTGAGCAACAAGATTAGCCATGTATTGAACAACAGCCTGAAATGTAAATAACCTCTTAACAGAACTTTTGAAAAAAAAAAAAAAGGGAAAGAAGCATAAAGAAGAAGCTGCAGATGCACTGAAGTAACACAAGTGTGAAACATAGATTACCTGTGCTCCGTTCTCAATGATATTTCTAGGTGGCACAGCCAGAGGATTTCCTTCAACATTTAAGACACGCAGTCGAGTTAGCATTCTGAAAGAGTCCGGTAGGGATCTAATTTGATTGTTGCTCATATCCAACTCCTCTAGATTCTCAAGGTTCCCAATAGACCTTGGCAGAGACTGCAGGTCCGCGAAATTGTTGCTTATGTTCATCTTTACAAGTGTTGTAGCAAAGCACAGACTCTCTGGGATCGATTCGAGCTCATTGAAGCTAACATTAAGCTCCCTCAAGCTTGATAAGGATGCCATGGTGGTGGGCAATTGTTTGATATTATTGTAACGCACTGTCAGTACTTCCAAGGATGCAATTTTTCCTACAGCTTCAGGTAGAGCTTTAAGCCGGTTATAGTCTGCATGAAGCTCTTTGAGTGAAGTACATCGACCAATAGTATGAGGGATTTCCTCAATATCATTAGTTTCAACATTCAAATTCTTGAGACTGACAAGTGATCCAATGGTCTCCGGGAGAACCATTATCCCATTAGAGCTTAAATCAAGATCTTGAAGCCGAACTAACTTACCAATAGTAGGAGGAAGTGTTTTTATTTGGTTTCCACTCAGGTTAAGATGGACTAAATTAAGCAAATCCCCAATGGATTCTGGCAATTCGATGATTTTGTTTCCATGTAAATCCAACATTTCCAGCGATGAAAGTCGTCCTATTGTGTCTGGTAACACCAGAATTCGATTCTCTGACAAATTCAAATTTGTTAAACCAAATAGCTTCCCTATTGAATCGGGGAGCCATTCAATTTGTTCAGCCAATTTACACTGAAGATTGAGCTCCCGAGTTCCTTTCTTTGCTGATACTTCAATCAAACTAGCAAGCTTTATTAAACTCATTTTATCACCGTCTTGTCCTAAAAATCAAACCAATTGATGCAAAATTAAATGGAAAATCCACTAAATAAATATAAAAACATATCAAAATTGCCAATTCAATAAGAATACACTAGTCCCCTTTCAGCAAATTAAGTCAAACTTACCTGAAGTAATAGCCGGCTTCAGAGTGGAATCAACAATCTGGGGCCCAGTTAGAACACCCCCAGATAGAATTCCAAGCCCGAATCCATCTACATGAAAAGCAGACTTCGTCTTCTTCAAACAACTATCGTCCTTGCTAAACAACTCAGATGCCTTAACTCTCTCCTCGTTATAAGAACTGGACAGGGAAGATGCTATGGCTGTGATCGTGTTTGGGGTTGGGGTTGTCTCTGTCGCTGTCGCCAGAGAATTGAAACTGTTGCCGGAGATGGAAGCTGTAGTTGCCAAGGACAAACTACTTGAATCCCTCAAAGAACTACAGGAAACATCATTCAACTGTGAATTATTCGAACCCGAATTAGAACCCAAGCATTTGGAAGCTCTCTGAATCAAATCGTCGAACAGTAAATGGACACCTTCAAGATCCAACAGTTTTAGAGCCTCCCTCTTTTGCTCCGCGCTCTGAAAATGGATCAAATTCCTCTGCATCTCTTGCAACACCTTGAATAATTCTTCTGGTACATCTTTTCCTTTGCTTTGCCTCGCAACTGCTTCGAGTCTCAACTGATCTTCCCTCTCGACGTTTCGGATTAAGGTTTTTGCCGCTTCAACCACATCGATTCCGGGTCGGCCTGGTAAGGATCTATGGATTCTCATTATCTCTTCTACAACCTCGTCCACTGTCATCACCGAGGACTCCATTATTATTTTCTTCTTATCTCCTGGAATTTCTCAAAAACAATAGTCTTAAAATATAAACCCCAGTAAATCGAATATTATAAAACTTTCATACGTAGGAATTGCCCACAGAATCAAAAGGTTGTTTTTCCTAAATTTGCATTTGAAGAAATTTCAAAACAAAAAGGAAAAAAAGGTAAAATTACCTTTTCTCAAAGCAAAATCAGAAGTACTAAAGATAAACAAAACAAGAATCAAAAGTGAGTTCCCCCTGTATCTTCACAACTTTTTAGAACATCAATATTAAAGTTGAAAATTCAACAACAAATTCTTCACTCAACAACTACTGTATATCACAAGGACATTATGCGCTTCAAATCACAATTTCTTCACTGGAAAGATATTATTAATAAACTGTTTTCAGACACGAAAAAAAAAAACAAAAAACATCGAAAACTATTTGAGATTATGCAAAACAGTAGAATAAAATCGTACTCACAGGGCTTCTCTACTATGAATCAGAAATGTTTCTATCAATTGCTGATATATTTGAAATCTGAGAAACAAAGGGAGAAAATCTAATACATTCGACGGTAGGATTACAATTTATAAAAAATTTCTACTATACAAAGAATTATCCACTGGATTCTGATGAATTTTGAATCAGGATAAATGGTTTCGTAGTGCAAATTTTGGTGGATAATTCAATATTTTGATCTAAGAATATTATTTGTACAAACAAGATATATACACAGCATTTCCTTGTCTTGTTGCATTTTTTTGGCTTCCATAAATGCCCTTGCATTTCAATGGCTCCTAGCACTGTTTAACATGGAGCGTTCTAAAAAGTGTAAAACGTAGTTAGACATGAAAACAAAGTTTCATATTTTACGAGCTTAAGCGACGTCTAAGTGTTAAAAAAGGTTTTCTTATTTATAATATTATTTCAACAATTTAAAAAATTATTTAATAATTAAAATAATACATATCAAATATCTAAAATTATAAAATACAATATTTACTTAATATTCTATAATTATACAATTTATTATGTTTTCAAAATGAAAAATTAGACTATTTTTTCATCATTTCAATTTTCAACTAGGCAAGTCATACTTAGAGTGTGTTTGGTAGAGATTAAAATCGAATTAAAATTGAAAAACTAGCATTTATTGTTGACTTTTGTTAGACGGGTGGAACCCAATGACGGCTATATTTTCAATTTTAATTGGATTCTTAGTGTTACCAAACAAACTCTTAATCCGAAACGTCGAGAATGAAAAAAGAGCTTATTAATGGATTTATGGAACTTAATACATGTTTTCAAAGTTTCCAACAAAACAACAAGTACCAAGATTGTAATTACATATGTAGATAGCACTGTAAATTAATTTTATTTAACTCTTTATTGAATAAAGTCATTTTTAACTTTTGTACAGACATAGTCTTTTAAAAATTTAAAATTAAAGTCAAAGTTTTTTAAGAAAATACAATAAAATTAATAAACTAAAGTTAAATAAAAAACTTCAAAAAAATTAAAATTTAATAAAGCGCATAGAGAGAAGACAAAAGAGATGAAGGAAAAATTTCAACCGTTAAGGAATTGAAAAAGAAAAAGTGTCTAGGAGAGAAGTGAGACGTTTTACCCGAACTGCAAGCCTAGGCGGTATCTAAGCGTCTCATAGACGAGCTTATTAAAATATTGGTTATTGTAATTTAACTAAATAGTGTTATCATTATTCATTATTGTTTTTTCCGTAAAATGAATTAATCGGCGTAATTGACGAAAAATAAGTCAATCACATTTTTATAAAAAAAATAATTCAAAAAAATTGTAATGTACTAACAATTGACATTCACGTACTATTTGAGCTTAATAATAATTTAATTATAATTTACACCCCAGTTCAATTTGGTCAATCTTAAATGCTTTCAATGTTCTAAAAAGCAACGCTGTCTAAGTCCGAAGAGGGAGCAAAACGTCCAGCTTCGCGCTTTTTTATTTTCTTTTTTAAAAAAAAAATTTATCACCTAGGCGTGTCTAACGCACCCTTGTTTTACACTTTTTTTTTTTTTTAATGCTTTTTAAGTTTTTCAACACCTTTTTTACATTTTTTAAAATATTACATAATTTTTAAATTGATTTAAAATTTTAAAATAATATTAAGATAAAAAAACGCTTTTTCAACCTCAACGCTTCACAACTCCATATGCTTTTTAGAACACTCAATACTTTTATAGTTGTTTCAAATAAGTGTTCTATTTTGTAATAATAAATATATTGACTTGTATATGTACATTTTGGATGCGATTGAGAATGAATAACGATTAATCTTATCATATATGTGGCTAAGGATGGTAACAAAGATAATTAAGCTCAGCGAGTACTCAGATTTCATGATTGATCTATTCAAATTAGTCAACATTTAGCGTGACATGTTAAGAGTAAATTTTCATTAATTAAATATACAAATATTAATCAATATATAAAGACTTGTGCTATTCATCTTAATATGATTGATATTTTAAGATAAAACCTTAAATTTTAATACAATATTATAGTCATTAAACTCAAATAAGCAATCGAATTTCAAGATTAGTGTTCTCGAACGAATCATCACCTTACTGAGCGAGCATGATAAGAAATAAATCTTACATTGGTCCAACGAAAGCAATAATTAGCAATTTTATATTTACTATGCTTTTACTTTGTAATTTTATAAATTTTGAGTAAGTTAATTTTTTAAATTAAAATAATTACAGTAAATAAATTGTGTTAGAAAATATTTGGTACGATTACTTTGACTTACTAAATGTCGATTTTGAAACAAAAGTTTTTCAAGCATTCATCAATTATTCCCGCAACTTAGATCTTGTTTGAAATATATTTTTCGTTTTTTTTTTCAATCGTACATTTCAATAAAATAATATTACACACAACCCCAAAATAAAACATTTATAAAAATACATTCTACATAAAAAAAAAAAAAAATGGGGCTCAAACATGCCCTTAATATTTCTTTCATACACGTACAATTAATTATTTTGAAAGCATAGTAATTTCTTACGTACACGTACAATTAATTCAATTATTTCAATAATACCTTACTTTTCGTTTTTTAATATGTAATAAATACTATAGAATTTTTGTCACACGTGAATTTCATGTTATTAATTCTCAATTAATTAATATTCACACTAACTTAAACTCAATGAATTTTGAATTGATGAATCTTGAGATACGTGAATATGAAGTTAATATAAATGAATTTATTTATATTCATGTATCTATGAATTTTAACGGGTGTTTAAATTTATGTATTAGCAATTAATTCTTATGTACCAAATGTAGTATAAAAATGTTGCTCATTTGTAGTATTTTATCTCACAAAAAAATTGAAATATAGAAGTTGGGTTTTGAAACAATTTTACTTTCTTAAATTTCTATTAGTATAAAAATATTGTTCATTTATAGTATTTCATCATCAGAAAAAAGTTGACCATAGAAGTTAAGTTTTAAGAATACAGTTTTCTTCTTTTAAATTTATATCCTAAATTTTATTTTTTTAATTCGTTTGAAACTCATCAAATCCTTCAAATAAATTCATATTAATATTATTTTTATAACATTTATAAAGTATTTTAAAATAACGTGTAATCAAACGTTCAATTCTGACTAATCAATTTAAATGGCAGTATCTCCTTCGTTTCACTGTCAAATGAATGAGATACTTTAATAGGAGGTAGGTCCCACTTTTTAACCTTTTTTTTTAATATCCTAACATCAATTATTTAAGAATTGATCAAATTATATTATATATAAAAAAAGCATATCATAAATGAAAGACACGTGGTATGATCCTGTAGTCCAACTGTGAACCAGCTGGCAAAGTCACGCGATAACCGTTTCTTCAAGGATGGCCTTTTTGGCAGTTGGATTAGGGTGTCCGTGGACATGAAAATGAAGAGTGGTTTGCTTCCACGAGGGTGTCCTCACATGCCAATGCCGTCACCTGTTCCCAGACCTAATTCATTGGGCCCATTATGGGGTTTGTTGCCTTGTGTAGATTTTGGCCCAGTTTTGTTTGAAAATAGTTAAAATAAAGTTGGTTTTTATCAATTTTTGGACGGGTCTCGCTACTCGAATTTTACAAAAAATGGGTTGAACACATTCTACTCATCGAGTGGATAAATTTGATATATTTGGCCGTCAAAAACTATTTCCAGGTGAATGAAAAATTAATGGATAAATTTAAGCTGAAAATCATGAAACTTTAAGTAAATGAAAAATTCAAGGGATAAAACCGTCACTCAAGTAGCAGCTTCGCATCAATCAAGCGGCAGTGTCCCTGCTCTCAGCTCTCGAGCGGCCAAGTCAGGGACTAGCGGGCGCTAGTGTACCTGTGCAACTTTTCAAGAATACGTTGATTTATGAGTTGTGTCAATTTGTGTGCACCTTCTTAACCCCTATAAATTAGACCCCTATGTGTTGGTTTCATACACTTCAATCCTATGCATTCATATTATATCATATGACATCAAATTCTGGATCAAAAAGCTTTTGTTTTTCGTTCCAAAAAGAAGTTCATAATTTATTTTTGCTCATCGTTTCTTAAGTTTCAAAGTATTGCAAACACAAGAATTTGATCGTTGTATCTTGTGAGACAATTGCCATAAGTCGTAAGCACTTGTGCGGGGCAAATTCGCCTTAAAAACAAAGAGTTCAACTCTTGCCTCCATCCATTTACATTTCATTCTTTTGAAGTTATTCTGACCAACTTTCCATTTGATAACGGGTAGGTATCGATAAGTTTGGATTATTGCAATAAAAAAATCACTTCATGCATTTACAAACAATAAGTTTTGGCTCCACTTTTGCCAACCCAATTCGTCATTGTTCATTCAATTCACTCGTAGATATTACTCTCGTAGTAGTATTGAATAGTATTGAACAATAAATAAATAAATAAAATTTAAATTTTATTTTCCTTACAGTTAAGAATGGCTGA